TCCGATCGCCGCAACTCGCGATCGCAATTCCAAGTGTTATCGTCGAAATCGCCGAAAGTCAAAACAGCCAGTCGCCAAAACAATGAACAAAACCTTTGCTCAAATGCGGCAAGCACACGGCCACCGTGTTCAGAATCGCCTCTCGCACGCCCACCTCGTCGTCTCTGCACAGCTCCACCAAGCACGGCAGCAGCAAACTCCCGCAATCGGCCGCATTCCTGCCAACAGCAAACACCACTAATTCCCTTCCACTTCTCAAATCAACCCAAACAAATCAAATCAAACCTTAAAGACTGCGCAATTACACCAAGTCGTTGAGCTATTGAACTTCGCACGTTCGCGTTCTGATCGTGTGTTAACATCTGAACACACGGCGCCAACTCCTTACGAATGCTCAAATTAAAATTAACATCATTTTTTGAAAACTTGTCGAATCGGTCGAATTCCGATCGCGCCAGGCAATTTCGCAGCTCGCGATCGCAATTCCAAATGTTCTCGTCGAAATCGTCGAAAAGCTGTCGAATCGGTCTTGATTCCGATCGCCAAAAACAAAAGAAGTGCAGAAGAACTCACTCAAAAGACGGCAGAACAGCACACAGCTTCTCGATCAGCCGTGTGGCAATAACGCGTCGTTGAACCCGTTGGTTTGGTTCAGCCTGCGACAACGCTACGGGTAGTATCTGCAAGAAACAGATAAGCTTCTACTCTCAACAACCACCTCAGCAGCAGCAGATCAAATCCGAATGCTATCCATACTCAATGAATACCTCACTCAGCACAGCTCTAATCCATCTAAATCTTTAAAATTCTCCTCAAAAACACAAACGTACCGATTGCTTTATTGCTGCCAACGGCACATGCTCCAAAATCTCCACCAACGTCTCAAGCCAGGCTGCCGCAGACACTAAAATCAAACCAAAATCAATACACTCATCGTATTTTGCCTGCCTGCCTGCCTAAACTAACAAAACAAAACACAATGAATTCATTAACTTTAACTTACAATTATCCTTCTGTCGATTCACATTCTCCAGTATACCACTCAATATAACGTCAGTTAAACCGCTGAAAACCAAACCAAAACTTGCCATCAGAATATAATTATTTTCACCACTATAATATAATTATAAATAATGAACTCACTTGAAACGGCTTGTGAGTTTTGTGTTTCTAAAGATATTCTTATAGGTGACCGCAGCTTCGCAGTGTATATCCAAATTCGACGCCTCTTCTTCCAATACTTTCTGCCGTAACAGTAATATTATAACAACCATAATTACAATAACAATAACAATAATAACAGCAACCAACCTGTATCAACGGCAGCACCAACTCAATCGCTTTATCACCC